AGCATAAGCTTGTTCCTTTCCTTTCTGAAGTATGTTTTCTGACTCGTAGCCAGCATCATGGCACTGCTGCGCCTCTGCAGATCTATCCTGTGTGGCAGTTTGCAAAAGTTCGGTCCTCTTGCTTTATAAGGAATTCTGTAACCTAGCAACTGGATTCTGGAAGCATTCCCATAGTAACAGCATCGTTTGGTGAGCAACAGGAGACACAGCTTGGTTTCATTCCACCTCCCACACTGGGGTACCTGAGGAGGAAAGGAGTGATGGTTTGAGTGGGAAAGAGGGATTGTGTCTACATCCAAGATAGGTGACTTCACACATTTCCCAAACGCAGATATTTGCCTCTCCCTTTGCAGCCAAGCATCTGGGCATGGCCAAAATCCCGACTTTCTGTTCTGCTGGGCCCTTGAGAAAAATACCAGATGTTTGAAACTGCTGTATCTTTATGTCATAATATTGCGGAAAAATAGGTCCGATTGCTGCCTGTAATCCGTCTTGGGAATCAGAATTTCAGGTACGGGTGCTGACCTTGTGTTTGCATGGTTGTGTTCTGACTGTCACTTCAGGATAAGGGAGGATTTAGCAGCTACCTTCCCCTCCTGGACAGCAGAAAATCACAGCTCTACATTTAATCCTCAAATCGGGATCCAAGCTGCAAGATTTCCAAAAGGTAAACAAAGCATGGAGTACAGCCAGCTTGTGCTCTTCTGTGGCAGTGGTTCGAAAATCTTTGTGTAGCAGCCAGGGGTGTGATCAAAGTGTGCAAGGCAGATTTAAAAAATAGATGGGAGTGTCAGTCACACCATGTTGACTTTTTCTTTTTTGCTATATTTTACAGAAGCCCCTAGGAAGGCTTTCACCCTCACTAATTACCCTCATTTGCCCACTTTCCTTTTATCTAAAAGCACCATAGAAGCAAGCAACCAATTTACAATGTAATAGTACTTATCCAATCTGCTAATAATTATTTTCTTCCTCCATGGAACAAACAGTCCAAAGGTGGGGGCAAGTGATCGATTTTTAATTAATTTTTTAGTAAACTACCTTGGTCTTTCTGACCTCAGTTTCTAAGTGTTCTGTAGGATTGCTTTTCCATTTATTTGTTTCAAGAATTTGTAGGGCCACCCATTTCAACAAATTTACTCTGGGTGGTTAGGGATACAGAAGTCATAAAATGAAACAAAATAGATTGAAAGCAGAAGAATTGAATACAGTATGATCAAGAGTCCCAAGATAAAATTCTCACAGTAATAACAAAGCATGTATTTATATCAGGTTTTGCAAACTTCCTGGCTCCATTGTCTGGGTATCTCAGAGTTCTCTGGTGCCATGAGGACTAGAAACTTGTTTTAGAAGTACATCTGGAAGATTCAGCAAACTAATTTTACAGTACTTCATTTCTGGTTTAGGGCAGTGCTAAGGACAATCTATTTTTCTTCTCACTTGAAAAATACCTGGCAATGTTTTAAAATATTGGGGGGTGGGGCAGAGGGACAAAAAGCAAACAACAAATAAAATTATCAGTCAGCAAGAAATGGAAACATTTGCTAAAGATTAGATAGCTACTCCAGATCCTGAAGATGAAACTCAAATACTTTGGCCACCTAATGAGAAGGAAGGGCTCACAGGAGAAGAGCCTAATGCTGGGAAAGATTGAGGGCAAAAAAAGAAGGGGATGACAGAGAATGAGGTGACTGGATCAGGGGTGAAATCCAGCAGGTTCTGACAGATTCTGGAAAACCGGTAGCGGAAATTTTGAGTAGTTCAGAAAACCAGCAAATGCCATCTCTGGCAGGTCCCAGAGTGAGGTGGGAATGGAGATTTTGCAGTATCCTTTCCCTGCCACCAAGCCACACCCACAGAACCGGTGGTAAAAAGTTTTGAATTTCACCACTGGGCTGGATGGAGTCACCAAAGCAGTAGGCATGAGCTTAAATTGATTCCAGAGGCTGGTAGAGGATGGGAAGGCCTGGAGGAATGTTGTCCATGGGGTTATGATGGGTCGGACACAACTTCACAACTGACAACAACAAAGATAGCTATATTTTAAAAGTTATGAAACACCTAGTTAAAAAAAAAATCAAAAATCATTTTTGAAGTGTGACAAAAACAGAATTGGGGCTAGCACCATTACACGGCTCTTAGCAGAATTCAACCTTATTTCTTCCATAGAATGAACTGGCCAGGATCTCTTAGGTCCCTTCATTATTAAAAGATGAGGGGGGAAACCTACTTTTGGAAGCATCTCATAGATCAGAGACCCTTGGCTTATGCTCAGAGGCCCTATCATCTCCATTCAGTTCAAAGGAGCAAAGTCATTCCTGCTGATGTTTTGTTGCATGATTCAATTTCTATGGCCAAACAGCTGCTCCTTAATGCAGGATATAAGTTTGATGCAGGAGAGCACAGAAATCCCGATGCTGATTCTTTGCAGCAGTGCTAGTGGGAAGAACTATAACTATAGTTAAACTCAGTTTCAGTCTCTTTAGACTTCAGACTAAATGGTGTTAGGGAGGAAGAGAGGCTTTTTCAAAGGGAATGCCTCAAAAGTATAACATTATAAGAGCCGTGGCAACGCAGTGGCTAGAATGCAGTATCACAGGCAAATTCTGCTGACTGCCAACAGTTTGATCCTCACCAGCTCAAGGTTGACTCAGCTTTCCATCCTTCCAAGGTCGGTAAAATGAGGAGATTGTTTTGGGCAAGAGGCTGACTCGGTAAACGGTTTAAAGAGGGGTGTGAAGCAGTATGTAAGTCTAAGTGCTATTGCTATAATGGCATGGCCGGTTCATTCATTCTGCTGAGAAGAGGCCTTGTTTTCATCTCAAAAGTTTTCCTTTGACAGCCCGGTCAAAGAAGAAAAGTTCTCCCTTTCAGCCTCCATTAAGCTTTTATCCAGCCTTCAAAATCCATCTCTTATTTCTCTTCTCTCCCCCCCCCCCCATCCCACCCAAATCCTTTTTTTAAAGATCCAAAATGGAAAAGTGCTCCGATTTGGAGACGAACAGCCCCACTGAGCCTGATAAAAGTCTTCCGGGAGGTTTTGCCCCCAGAATCTCCGAAACCATGGCTGAGCTGCTCGTCAACACCGTGGCTGGCACTGCCCAAATGGTCCAGGTCTCTCTGGAAGCCCAGAAATCTGCCCAGGTACTTCCAGTTGACTTTTCAGCCCAGCCCTGAAGAGGGAGTCTCTGCAAGTGAGGAATTATCTCTCTTGTGCAGGTAGTCCTTGTCTTATGACCACAACTGAGCCCAAAATTTATGTGGTGCCTAAGTGAGAAATGTATTCAGTGAGTTTTGCCCCATTTTTATGACTTTTCTCACCACATATGTTAAGCGGATCCCTGCAGTTGTTAAATTAGTAACACGGTTGTTAAGCGAATCTCACTTCCCCATTGACTTTGCTTGTCAGTTCAAAAAACCTGATCACATGACCCCAAGACACTGCAACCGTCATTAATGTGAGTCAGTTGTCAAGCATCCAAATGTAAATCACACGACCATGGGGATGCTGCAATGGTCATAAGTGTGAAAAATGTTGTCCTGTCACTTTTTTCACTGACAGTATAACTTTGAACAGTCACTATCCAAACCGTTGTAAGTCGAGAACTACTTTTAATGAAAAACTATCCAAAGGTTGTTTTTTAAGTCATGGCCCATCATAAAACAAGTTTAAAACCATAACAATTTAGGGATAGTATTTGACTTATGACCTCAATTGAGCCCAAAATTTCTGTTGTTGAGACATTTGTTAAGTAAGTTTTGTCCCAATTTGCAACCATTCTGGTCGCATTTGTTAAGTGAATCACTGAAGTTGATAACCCGATTGTTAAGTGAATCTGGCTTCCCCCCACTGACTCTGCTTGTCAGAAGGTCGCAAAGCGGATCACATGAGCCCCAGACACTGCAACCGTCATAACTATGAACCAGTTGCCAAGTATCTGAATTTTGATCACATGATCATGGGGATGCTGCAACTGTCATTAAGTGTGAAAAAGGGTCATAAGTCACATTTTTCAGTGCTGTTGTAAACTTTGAACAGTCACTAAGCAAATTGTTTTAAGTAGAATTACCTTTATTACCCTTCCAATAGTAGCAGTCCAACCTGTACAAAAGGAATAAAAATCATTTATTCATAAGCCAAAGCTTATGTCCAATTCTTTTATCCTGAAACCTATTTCATAAAAACAGTAATACTGAAATGAGAAAATAATTATGTGCAGCATAAGAGACGAGGGCACAGGCAAGTCCTTGACTTACGACCTGTTGCTTAGCAACCATTCAAAGTCACGATGAACCTACCTTGGGGCTATTTGCCAGAGGGATCTGACATTCCAACAGTCACCCCACCCCCTTCAGTCACATGACCAAACTTTGGTCGCTTGGCAACGCAGCCACATTTACAGTACTTTGCAGAGGCCCAGGTTCGCGTGGTTGGTTTTACAGTGGTCACAGCAAATTCCTGGTTCGCTTAGCAACCACAGTGTTTTGCTTTAGAACTGCTGCAGAAAAGGTCGTTTAATTGGTTCAGTCACGTGACCGACTTGTTTTTTGACCATCGTGATTTACGACCTACATGGGCAGCCTCCATTACAGTTGTACGTCAAGGAATACCTGTATAAATGTCCATATGTGAAAAGCAGTATGAGTGAAAGTGAAAAGGTGAAAGGATCAACAATAAACCAATTTCAGGTGGTCCTCGACGTACGATCACAACTGAGCCTAAATTTCTGTTGGTAGGCAAGATGGTTGTTAAGTGAGTGTCACCTCATTTTATGATATTTCTTGCCACAGTTACTAAGTGAATCGTGGCATTTAAGTTAATAACATGGTTATTAAGTGAATCTGGCTCTCCCATTGACTTGGCTTGACAGAAGGTGATCACATGACCCCAGGACTCTGCAACCGTCACAAATATAAACTAATTGCCAAGCATCCAAATTATGATCCTGTCACAATGGAAATGCTACAATGGTCATGTGAAAAATAAGTCACTTTTTTTTTGCTCTTGTAACTTGTAAGTGATGAAACAAATGTTGTAAGTCGAGGACTACCTGTATATACGTAGTCCTCGGCTTACGACCACAACTGCGTCCCAAACATTTTTTGTTATGTGAGAAATTTGTTAAGCTAGTTTTGTCCCATTTTACGACTTTCCTTGTGAATCATTGCAGCTGTAAAACCAGTAACACGATTGTTAAGTGAATCTGGTTTCCTTTTTGAGTTTGCTTATCAGAAGGAGATCACATGTCCTCCAGGACACTGTAACCATTATAAACGTGAGTCCATTGTCAAGCATCTGAATGTAAATCACATTACCATCGGGATGCTACAAGTGTGCAAAATGGTCATAAGTTACTTTTTTCACTGCCATTTTAACTTTGAACAGTCACTAAATGAATTATTGTAAGCCGAGGACTACCTGTATACAGGAATAGTCTTCCATCGGAAAGCATAGGGCTCCAAGCTGATCTGTCTCCCCACTTTTTTTCAGCTAGCTTGTTTCCACGCAGAGCACGCACTGATCCAAGCCCGTCTGAGCTACATGGCAGCAAAGGGCCTGGCTGAGCGACTTTTGGGGTTCTTGAGCCCCCCTGACTTTCAGGGACTCTTCCAGATACTCTCACAGCCCCCCATGCCATATTCTGAATTTTGTACTATCATCCGGCGGACAGAAAATGGTAAGCATCTGCCCACCATTGCTACTTCCTCTTACTCTGGAGGAGTACCACTCTACCTACTACTTAATAGCCCCCACTCATTGTCAAGAAATTCTAAAGTCCTTCTAAATCAAGGTTTCTCGACTTCGGCGACTTTAAGGGGAACAGACTCCAACTCCCAGAATTCCCCAGGCAGCCTTAGTGACTGGGGAATTCTGGGATTTGAAATCCATTCATCTTAAAGTTGCCAAGATTGAGGGACATTGTTCAAAATGCATCTCTCTTCTTGCCACCCAGCCCTCTTACACCCTGTTCTCAAATGCAAGCCGGGATTCCAAGCGCGACAGGAACCTGGTCCAGCTTCTGAATGCAGTTGCCCGTAAGTAACTTTGTGGAAGGAGATGGGGTCAGGGTGGCTTATGAAGACAAATCTCTGGTCTACCATTTCCAGCCTGGTTTAATCTTCTTTTTCCAGACCAGGCATTGCAGATGATGGTCTTCAGAGAGGGTTTCCTGATCTCCAGTTCTTTAGATCCCCTTGTGTCAGCAAGGTGGTAAGTAAAACACATCCATGCAGACTTGAAAACTTCTGCAATCCAAGTTTCATAAAGAATAGGATTTGGTTGCAAGTGGGGTGGGGAGGATTGCTGTAGGAAGGACCAATCAGATCACCGGTGTCCAACCTTGGCAACTTACCAACCTTGGTAAGTGAGCACCTGTCTACCCTAGACAAGTTCAAATCACCAGGACTGGATGGATTACATCCCAAGGTTCTGAGGAAACTGGCAAACGAGATCTCAGAACCACTGAAACATCGTTTCAGAGATCCTAGAGCACCGGGGAACTGCCAGAGGACTGGAAAAGAGCTGATGTGGTTCCCTTCTTCAAAAAGGGGGCGGGGGGAACCTGATCCAGGAAACTACAGACCTATCAGCCTGACCTCAATACCAGGGAAGATTCTGGAAAAGACTAAAATTGTGCATGCACAGAAGCAAAAAACAAGATGGTGGCATCTATGGCACTGCCAGGAGAACCAGTTTGGGACCGTGGCAGGCCTGGATCACTGCTGGTTCCAGCGAGCCAGGCCACCAAGCTACTACCAGTTCAGCCATCACTGAGCCAAACCCTAATAACAGTTGATTCAAGAGTGGGTCGGATCCAAGGACCAAGAGGGATCATATTCTGTGGTTAATCCTCATCCCAATATTTCCTTTTTGTTCTCTTATCACAGAATGATGATTGGACAAATGAAGAGGATAATCAACTATTGGAGATTCAAGTCCGAAATCCCTCACTCCAGAAAAAAGTAAGGCCACATTTCCATCTAATTTCCTAAATTACAAAATGCAAAAACATTAGCTTGAAAGTTTCTTTTCCTAATCTCTGACTAAATGGCATTTGGGAGGCTGCATGTGGAATAAAGATAGCATGCTAAAGATTTCTTACAATGCAAACTTGAGAAAACTAGAACATTCTTTCCCAAATATATTAAATGTATTTCTAGTAGTATGATCATACGTCTTGTATTTCATCCATTTCTAATCCTGTTATTTATAGGTGCCTCTGTCTACCATTTCTGTGTGACCTGGGTATATCCGCCAATCTACTTTGTAATTATTTTTTTAATAAATGAATTAATTAAAAAAGAAAAGAAATTAAAAAACCCGATCACTGGGTCTTTTTCTACTATCAGTTTTCTATGTTGCTATGTCTTGGACAGGTGGCAACTCTTATCTACTCAGTCTGATCCATACTTAATCTCTGGTTTCCCCCACTGCTTATG